ATCGAGAAAGCAGTGACGTCAGCCGAGCCCGATTTGCAGGCCCGAGCCCGAAGCAAACCCGACATTTCATATTTTATTTGTGAGTATTTTTGGGAGAAAAAAAAAACAAGATTTCTTACGGTTAAAATAATCTACATATTTTTATGAACATCATATGTTCATTATCATTATCAATCATCATCAATGCATTTGCACAACGAAATAACGCTGAAATACAGAATAAGAGGCCAGACAAAGAGAAATCTCGATGCGCATTTGCTTAATTACGCAGAGAAATCCTGCGGCTTACTAGGCTTTAAATAGAATAATTCAAATCAAATAAATAGGTAAAGATATCTGAAATTATTTCTATAGGATTGTTTAAACAAAATTAACATACGTGCGCACTGGTCGGGCCAGCCGAGCTCCTGTTTAGCAGTTAAATAGCAATTAAATTACAGCGCATTCTCTGTTTTATCCAAATTGTTTGTTTTAAAACAATTATTCCTTAGTTTAGTATCTGCACATTGTTTTAGTATACATTTTTTAAAACATATATTGTGGCAGTCATAAGGAGCACACACGATTGACTGTAAACACGTCTTTATTCCACGACTTCCTGTCGTTTTGGTCCGCAGCAGAAACTGCACATGTGACCGCAAGTGGAACTGCTCCGGTGCTGCGCCAGTGTTGTCACGCTCAGCGGCTTTGCACGTGTGACCGCTCCACAAAATTTGCTCCGGTGTAAAATATATCGCAACAAGATATTTCGGTGCAGCGTCGGACCAAATGTGTGCCGTGTGAACAGGGCTTTGGACACATGAGTGAAGAGAGTGGCGGAGTTGTCAACCAATCACCACCTGGTGTTGTGGTGGCTCCGATGGTGTGCATGCAGAAAAAGTGGTTAAGATTGCATGACTGTCTGTGTCTTATGTGATGTGTTGTTATTATTTGTCATTTTATGTGAACTGTTCTGTTGATGGCGGCGCGGGTACCCACAGCGGCTCCTCTCTTTTCTGTGGTTGAGAAGAAAGAATCTTGTGTTGTATGTTGCAGATAGAGCACATTTGACAATAAAGTTGACTTGACTTGACTATATAGAGAGCACATCATACAACTGGGTGTGTTTTCTTCAAGTTCTGCAATCTTCTGAAACACAACTGATAGCTGAAATATTGTAGTTTTGTTCTACTTGATTGCGCAATGATTTGGTTGAAAATCCCTTCTTGATACAGATGCGAACTGTGAAAAATATGATTGTTATTCTTCAACCATAAATCCAGCCTCTTCCAAAACGATGGGCGATGAATAGGATGCTAAGAACTCACCAAAGGCTGTGCTGCGGTTTGTCAGTCCTGAGTAGGCATTCCCGCTGGGGGATGATGTGGCTGGGGATGAAAGTGGACTGTAGGAGGCCGGATCAGTCTGGTAGCTGTGGCCTGTCCCAATACCAAATGGACTGGACTGGGCTTTACTGGACTGTAATGTTTAGATAGTGGTTAGATATTTGGCATACAATGAGGAACATGTGAGTTACAAAATCTTTCCCTTCATTTCTTTTCTTTTTTTATTTTTTTAATGGAAATTTGACCCTATAAAATGACAAAAATTGTCTTGAAAATCTGACAAAACACAGGAGTATTATGAAAAAGCTTGGCCCCCAAAAAAACAACAACAAAAAAAAAAAAAAAAAAAAAAAAAAAAACAAAAACAGTACATATCAGGCTCCAAAGTTGTGAGCCTACTTTCCAATTGTAGGACAGTGTGTGCGTGCCCACTTGAGGCACTGGAAACAAATCCTGCTCGAGCTTCATCGGTCAATCAAATACACTGGTTCGTACAGGATATATATACTCAAGTGTTTGTAATCAGCTGCAAGCTGAAAAACGCATGCCGTTGTGTGTGAAACTCATTTGCTGCCAATGACATATATTTATGCCATTCAATGCCAGGTATGTATTCATGTTTTTTGTTTGTTTGTTTTCAGGGAGTAGGATAAGGAGGGTCTGAAAATGGTTGGCTGTGACAGACCAGCATTGGGAAGATGCCTTTTTTGCAGATTAACTGCACATTGTTTTGTTAGCAATGGGTCGAGGGATTTTTTTGGAACTAAGTAACTAGCAACTGCAACAGATAGTCACAGATGAAATGAGGGCATTCAGTATTTATATTCTGGGGGAGTAGTTATGACAGGGGGGCCAGGTGCCCCGTCCAAAAAATCTGGACTACTGAATCGATGAAAGTTAATTGCCATATTCCAAGAATTCAATACTTAATTGTTTTGTCATGTGCATCTTTCAGCATTTTACCTTCAGACAAATGTCAGTATTTTGAAATAAATCACAAATATGACTTGCTTCATAAGGTCTTGAAAAAAGCCGGTGAAGCACTGAAATATACACTAAAAATGTGAGCCAAACTTCATAAAATGTATTTGTTTGTTTGTTCTGCCAGCAAAGGTTTGCCTTTTATAAGACTTCACACCAATGTAAGTCAGCAACAAATGCAAAAGAATCCTCAATTTAGATGTGAATGCACATAAAAGAGTGCAAACAAGTTCGATAATATGGGACATGTGAAACATCTGAACCATTATCTTTAGTGCAATGCAAGCTCTGATTTGAATTAATTTCATCCGATGCCCAACGAACATTCATTCCAATAAAATCAACTAAACGAGCCTGGAAACCAGAACAATCTGGGAAATTTATTTGCCCTCACGGATGGCTGCCTCACACTGCTCAGACTGATTTATATTGTGTTTGGAACAACGTTTTACTGAAAAGGCCAAAAGGGGACCGAAAACTTGGTCAGGCTCTAAACTTGAACATGATGTCAGATTTTACCATATGTTTAGAAGTAGTGATCATCAACCCTCTTTTCCTCTAAATTATCTCATGGCAGTGACTTGATTCATTTGCTGGAAACTAGAATTAACCCTGACTGTGCATGATATGATTTAGTTTTAAAGTTTGCTAAGTTCCCCGGTGTGCATTTGTCAACACACAGACACGCACATCAAACAAAGACTAATTCATCTGGCATTTAAGATGGAAGTTGAATGCCAAGGAAATAGCTGAGGAAATCACTTGGAAGCACTGGAAACCGCACCATCAACCTGAGGCTGACAGAATGTCAATGTTTGCATACCTGGCCAGAGAACGGGGGGCGGTTTCCTGACCAAGCAACTTGACCTGGGTTGAGTTGTCTTGATATCTGAGCTAGATTCTGAGTGGATGAACTTGATGGTTGGATGTCATTCACACCTGGGACATGAATCACAGAGGAACTGGAAATATAGAAAAAGAGAAGTAGACACACACACACAAACACAAACTGTAGTACAATAGATTTGAAAATGACAAAAAGATAGAATGAATGTCACATGACATCAGTGGCAATGACATGTAGCTACCTGAAAGTTTTTCCAGAGTGTCCCTGCTGGAACTGAGAACTCTGAGAATAGAGCTGCTGTCCTCCCGCTGTCGAGGAGGGAACCATCATCTTCTTATCACCCGCTATGCAGATACACGCAAATGCCAGATTAAAATTATAATTAATAACCGGGAAGAGACAAACATTGGGTGGTGTGAGGGATAGAGGCATAAAGCTGTGAATAAAGCATTGAGCGCATTTAAATCCACAATACACAAAGATTTTGTTTTGGAAGAATTATGATGAAATTTGGACAAACAAAACAGGAACCTTCGGGGATTTTAGCCTTTTTAAAATGTCAACCAGTAATTACAATGCTCAATAAAGTAAAGTAAATGGGGGGTATGAGAACCCAGCCGCTGGGGAGCAGTGCCCTCCCCTGGGGGTACACTGTTCCCCAGTGCCGGTCCCAAGCCCGGAAAAATGGGGAGGGTTGCGTCAGGAAGGGCATCCGGCGTAAAACTTTTGCCAAGACGGACATGCGAGTTGATAGGGCGGTTTGCAGGGACGGATGGGAATTAATGACTCGCTGTGGCGACCCCTGAAAAGGGACGTGCCGAAAGGAGAAGAAGAAGAAGAAATGGGGGGTATGAGAATGACATACATCCGGAGATGCTGGTGTACATTTCAGCAAAGCGCGGGTCTCTCTCCTGGGAAAAAAGGGCTTCTGGCTTGTCAATGCTCTTCCCTGCCTCGTGCACTCCACTGCTCACACTGGCCACAGGAACCTGGAAGTTGGGATGACAGGAGGATTTCAACTTTAAGTAAAGTCACAAAGAATGCACAGCACAAACGTAATAGGATTTTGAGCAATTATGATTTCCTCAAAAAAGAAATGCATTGCTTGACCATCTTCGTTGAGTTCAGAATTTGAGGTTTGTTTACCTGGGAAAGATCGTAAGCCGTCAGACCGTCTCTCTGGTGAACTTCTAGCTCTGCCTGTTGCTGCTGAAGCTGCCTGGAAAGAAACATGAAAATAAAATATAATCGTACATTAGCGAAATGGTGGCCAGCAGCACAAGCATTACATTTAAAAAAAAAATCATTTAAAACATCCTTTTAAAAACATCTGTACAGCTTTGTATTTGGCTCTATGTTTGTTCAATTTATGTTACAACTGGTTATTTTGGAATTTGTAATCAAAGGCAAATCTGTGTTATCTGAACTCATACACTGTTATCTCATTGTATATTAATAAAACCCTTTATGGCTTCTTTAATTAAAGACTAATGAATAATATGTCAAGCCATAATGTTCGCCAAAAAGGTGAACATTTTCGGCCCATTGATCACAGTGACATAATGAAAATTAGAATAAGGAAAATAAAAAAATAATAATAATTTGGGGGGAAAAAAATAAATCAAAGATGCCCCACACCACCACTAACCTCAACTGACTTTATTAATGTAATTTCTAAGCAGCTACTTGTGTACAGCTACCGTATATGTTGTTACAGTTATATAAAAAATAAGCTTCTATTTTAAAACGGCGTACCGCATATTCGTGCGGAACAAATAATTGAATTTGCAATGTAATCACAATTTGATAAAACGTGATTTCTTCATCACAAAAGCTGTGATTTAAATGGTTATTGAGACGCGGAGATGAGACGAGGGGAGGAATGAGGGAGAGACGGGTGCAGAGACATAATCGCTGTGACCAAAGTCTATGCAATACATGTGTATAATTTTTGATGAGTTCTGTCTGATGAGACCTTGAGATGAGTATCTCGCAAGTTTTTGGGGAAGTGTTGACTTTGATTGACGTGTCTGATGAGTGCGCACGGGCGCTACTGGACGATGACCCATCAAAAGACATCCTATCGTCAAATGATTTGAAAAAGGAAGCGAAGGTCCAGTTGTCATCATATTTATAATTATTTATCGCGGTGGACGAGTGTTTATAAGAAGTGCAGTTATCATGTTTCATGCAACATGAAAAGTTGAAAAGTCAGAGATATTGAAGTGGTAAAATCACGGATTTCTTTGCATCGTGGTAATCTGTGCTTTAGTTTGATTTTTTACTGATTTACAGTATAGAATACATTCAGTCATATGTTGACGAAACACTTGGATGGCAGAATTATTTCATGCCATTGTGAATGCCAACAAGACTACAAGTCAAAGTATTTACTATGGTAAGTTTAATCATAACTATAGCAGAGAAACCAACTGTCATTCATATGAATTAGTACTTAATTTGCCTTTGTTTTAATATTCTTTCATTGATAACAGAGCTGCTATTGTTCGTAGTAGTAAAGATTAGTTGCTTGTTTGTTAAAAAAAAATCTTTGAAAAGGACCTTGAAAAAAATTATTGCATACATCCAAAAAATATATATCGCAATTTGATTATTTTCCATAACCAATTATAACCAATTCGCCAGTATACAAATATTCACGATATCACTTTTTAATCAACATAAATACAAAAAAAAACACCCATCTCTCTACAGTGTGAAAATATTTCAACATTTTTAAAGTGTGCTGACATTTTGAGCACAAACTGCGAAAGCATATTAGCCATTTCTAGTTGGCTCTCACCAAACATCATCAATGCAGATCCCCCTTTTTCATCCACCACGCAGCAAACAAGAATAAGGATGCAAGTCGTTGCTTTCGGATACCCGCTCAACCAATCATTACTCCCAATGGTGGCAGAGAGAGAGACCGAGAGGCGCTTATAAAAATCCCCACCTCGCAAGGCTTGTTCAGATACTTTGGCCTGGCCCACGGGCCGTATAATGCCTACTTCTGCATTACACAGTCAGTGAACTTACATGAAAGCTTTACTTCATTTTATTGGTTCAAAGATCAGAGTGGGAACATGAATACCAGGAATCCTACGTGCCAGAAAACAACCTGAGCATATGTAAGTGATGAGCAAGTTAACAAGTGGTTCAGTTATTCAGTTTCCTTTTGTGTGTGTGCTCATCTACTCCATAATTGCACCTTTGTACCTTAACTAAGAGACGGCCCACAATAACACTACTGCCCCCTACTGTCAAACAGTTTAGCATGTCATATGGTCGAGATTATCATCACACAGAAATATACTCATTAGCCATCACATCGGGCACACCTGCACAACATAATGACATGCAACACAAGCCCTGCAATTTCAAGTAACACTTCCAAATGCTGGTTGACATTGTATAACACTGATAGTCGTTTTACAATGTTTATTATAAGCGATGTACTTGGAGTTTGCAATGGCATAGAACTGTTTTGTCTCACACTGAGAGACGTTTATGTAATATATAGTTTTTCAGTTTTTCACCACGACATAGAATATTAAGAACATAGAATATATATATAACACTAAAGTGAGTATAAAGTTGACATAAAAGGACTTTAAGTACAGACCACCTTGCAGTTGGATCACAGCTGCAATAGTAGACAACACGCTGACACCATGTGTTACAAATAGAAAAAGCTGCAAAAATAGACCACATGCCTCATTATGAAAACATGCAATGAATTCAAATAAGTAAGCCAGAAGGTAATGATAGCACATTGTTCTCCGGGGACAATTGTGCTTGTGTTTTGAGTTTGTTTCTGAAAATGTTGCCCTGTGTAGTGTAGACCTCCCCCCAGCTTAAGATGTTTCATGCTTCATTTACGTTGGCGGTTTTTCATGAGCCACATTATACAATGTAAGTCAACAAAGAATTTAAGAGTATGACTTCTGGAGTTCAAGCCCAAACATGGTCAGCGAGCCAGATCGACCATGACCTAACCAGTTCACTGTTGGGTCCAAATGGATTGTTTCTGTCATTCCAGAAAGATTACATTTGCAAGAATGGAACAGATGTGAAGCCAATGTGACCTTGACCAAGAAAGCAATTCATTCATGGCTTCAGCTGGAGTCAACATCACTGCCAATAAACATTTATTCATTTTAATCAATTTTGAAGAATTTCTCCGACGGAACCAACCAAAATTGGATAAATGAACAACGCACCAAATGCGAAACTTGGTCATAGAAATATATCCTGGTATGTGAAGGTGCATGTGCATTCTATAAGTGCACAGGGGCTGAGCTAAAGACTTTTGACTGCTGATGGAAAAACATCAGTATTTGTCTTTGTGGTAAAGGGAGTACCGATTCCTGATGCTGTCAGACTATGCTGGATGCCAGGCGACAGTGTCCTCTGCCCCATGAACTATTTCCAGCCCACCATCTGTTTATTATTATTATGATTCTTTTTATATTCGAAAAATATACTATATGCTGAAAATTACATTTAGCACAGCTTGCGTTAGGTTTGGAATTCTGAATGCTTAGACAGCGATTCTTGTACCACAATTTCTAAAACTATTTCTATCTATCACAAAAGCTAAAAGCACATACACTGCTTTGTACTGAGTTTGTAATTTTGTACACACAACTCACTGCTTTACACTCATTTTCCAAATGATCAAAACATTCCTTGAAAAAATTTTCACAGTTATGGCTGTGTCTGGCCACAAAGTGACTGGAGAAAACGGTTTTCGGTAATTAGTTGACTTTGCAATCTGCCTGAGTACGATAAATGTGCCAGAGGTAAGCTTTCGGAGTCCATTGGAGGGCGCAGGAAGGTGAGAAGAGTGAGAATTAGAGGAGGCAGAGGATGAAGGCGTGGAGGTGAAGAAACAACTCAACTCTCAACTCAACTGTATTTATAGAGCACTTTCAAACAGCCATCGCTGCATACAAGATAGAGAGAAGGAGGACAAGAAGCTCAAAGATGAGTATGAAATAAAGTAAGTGATGACTAGTGGCCTTTGTAATCAACCATGGAATGACCTAAAATAGTTTTTTTCCCTCTATATCTGAGTGAAATTACTGTTTTGTGTTTGTTTTGATGTCTACAGTAAATACAGTCAACGCATTGAATAATATGATAGCTTGTGTGAATTGCGTGATAGAATATAAATACCATTTTAACAATTATTGATAAGCTGATGTAGGTCAAGTTATAGCAGCTTTTGTTGTCAGGGTGATGCCAAATTTTAAAAGAAATTCAAAATGTCGGATTTCCAGGTACGGTTAGCATATGCATCCAAGAAACCTTTTTGCAGTTCTTGGGTAGTTACATATCAAACAAAATGTTCATAGATTTCAGTGAAATGTACAACCAAGGGGGTTGTACAAATGATTTTGCCAGCCTTGACTAGTGTGCTAAGTTTCAAGAGTTTTTGTGCATGTTTCAACCCTCAAAGTCAGCGTTGTTCTAGAGGTGAACTTTGTGTTAACACAGCGACAGAGTTTTGCAAAAACTCACCAAATTCATGTTTTAAAATCTTGAAGGTCTAAACACTAGGGGTGTCACCGTAGTTTAGCGATATGTTGCTTTTTTTTGAACAATTCAATACGATGAAGGTGATTTTGGTATGATATTTCTATACAATAATTTGACATACTGATATACCTGTATGTTTACATTCAATTAACTTGCTGCTGTGATGGTACTGTATGAAGAACAACTGAATGCAACAGTAAACAAACTGCATATACATTTTCAAAAATATCAGCTGGTCTACATGTGGTCTGGCAGCAAAATAGACTACAACCTTTTTGAGTATTTGTTGACTAAAACTAGACAAACTATCACAAATAGGAATGACTAAAATGTCACTAAAACTAATAAGCATTTTTGCCCCAAAGACTAAGATGAAGTCTTACAATAGACGCCAAAAACAACACTTCTGCATGTCCTGTGTTATGTCATCATTGATCGAGTCGCCCAGTATATTTCTTTTGCCTTTCTGCTAAGAAATACCATTTAAAATACTCCAACCTTTCCTTCCCTGTGCTCGAGTCATCCTTTTGCCTGCACTCCACCACGACGCATCATCAAATGTGACAAATCATATTCTCAAAAACCCTGACTATTCCATTACAATCATTCTAAAATAATCTAATAAAGAAATTTGAGCATTCTGAAAAGTATGTTCATTCACATGCTCCTTTTGCATGAATTGCTGCATCAATGCGGTGTGGCATGGAGGCAATCATTGTGGAATCCCAGGTGGGCTCTTGCTCTTGGTAACAGGCTTGAGGATTTCACGAAAACGATCGTTTCCGGTAGCATGTCGTTTCTGTGGGATCATTATGTGTGCATATGGGTTGCGATTTTAGTCTGCACGCTGAGAAAGTGCGTGGATGATGGATAGAGATGGCGGCAAAAAAAAAACAAAAAAAACAACGCAAGGTGTATTCATTACTACATTTAAGAAACGGGAATGCCAGTCGGATTCTTCTCTCAATCATCCGAACAAGGGCCATTTTTTTAAAGAGTCATTATATGATTGTAATTATTCAATTCCTATTACATGAAAGCCTCAGAGTAGCCATTGATATGATGTTTATTTACATACATAGTACACACACATAATCATGTTATCAGTATCAGGTTTACTTGTGGCCCATGGTATAGAGCCAGATTTTGTGGTAGGCTGTATTCATAATGCCATATGAGTACAATAAAAGTGTTCAACAACATATTTTGATCCAATTATTTTATTGAATAAACCTGGAGTACACAGCTGCTGATGTAATTATGTTCATTGTTAATGCATAGTTTTCAAACATTTGTCCTTTTAAATATTATACTTTTGATGATCAGAATTCTTGATTATGAATATCAGTCAAAAGAGAAAAATGGGTTCCCATGACGAACGTTTACGGAACCCAAAATTAGTTACAGTGGTTTTCCCCATTGGGTAATTTAACAGAACCGAAAAACAGTTTCTGTTGATTTCTGAGATCCTCAGGCCTGTGGTAAGGGTAGGTGAGTTTGCGAGTGAATCAAGAACAACAAATTACGTGGTTTGGTCCTTTTGGCAGTGTGGGAAGGTGTCAATTCCTGCACAAAATCAACATCTCCATAAAGCTAGTCAGCAGATGAAATAAAGTTCTTTAAAATGTTCTGGTTTACAACTGTGTTAATTTTGGACTTAACAAAACTTTGGGAACCAAACCTCCAGATGACATGGCACCCCAAATCATCATTGGCTGTAGAAAGTTTACAATTGACTTTCCGCAACTTGGATTGCATACCTCTTCTCTCTTCCTCCACAGTCTGGGACCTTGATTTCCAAATGAAATGGAAAAAAACCTTTACATCTGAAAGAACTTAGAAGTTTGGACCCCTGACTTAGCGTCTAGTTCAGCCCAAGTGAGACGTGACTGATGTCTCCGCTACTTGACCCAAGGAATGCGACACAAAATCCGTTGCTACGTCAATACACAGTGGCACTGATTTCAGGCTCAGTCCACTCCCTGTGAGATTCCCAAAATGAACAGACACACGTACAATGTTGAGGTGGTCTTTTCAAATGAAGATTCTCAGACTAATTCCTCTGTGTTCCTCAAAGCTGGAAACTGGACCAATTCTCACAACAATGTTTTCTCCCTGTCCGGTGTGCAAGTTCAAAACATTGCTCTTGTAGTCACATTCAATTTCTGCTTGATGGTACAATTACCAACAGCGTAAAAAGATGCCAAGCTGTGCAAGTCAAAATGTTGAATATTTCATATTGAAACACATCTGATGCTTTTTGAGAGAAAAATCAAGCAAAAATAAAAGCCAGTGTCAGCATCTAAGCAGGATTGGGAGGGTTCTTTTAAAAATGTATTTCAATACAGTTTCTGTCCATCCATCCATTGATCATCTGAGGCGCTTATCCGCACAAGGGTTGCAGGCGTGCTGGAGCCTATCCTAGACTATCGCAGGGCACACAGATACAAACTGTGCTGCATACAGTTTCTAGTTATGTCTTAAAACATTTAGTCAGAAAAGTAATCCAAGTTCCACAATATTTAAGTCATATACCTTGATTACTTTTAATTACTTAACTCCAATGCCAAATATGCTAATAAAGTACATTTCGGAACAAAATACAAGTATATTTGTATACAGTGGAACCATGCTATTTACGTGGGATAGGGGGAAGGCCAGCCTGCAAAGAGTAAAATACAGTGGTACCTCTACTTATGAACATCTCTTCATATGAAATTTTACGCAACGCCACAACAGGAACATATTGCTTTTTGTTACGAAAGAAATTTCAAGATACGAAAGGTGAAAATACAGTATGGGCTGCACCTCGTAGCTCCGAATTTCCTGAAAGCAACATACTGATAACTGCTTTGCCATTGGCTATTACCGAGCATTGTCCTGGCATCCCATTGGCTCAGAGGAACATCTACCGTATGTGTCTATGTGTGAGGATAGATGTTTCTATGCAGCGTCCTCGTCATTCGCCCCTCAGGCTATGAGATGTTCCGATAGTCTTACGTAAATGTGAATCAACCAGAAAAAAGTGTTCACAGTCGGCCAATCGCTCACTATGCTGATGTTTGCCTTGGACATTTTCAAAGGATCGTTAAAAGCCGAGAAAAGCTAATGTCCTTGGATCAGTTCGTTCTTGACAAAACGGCAGGCAAAAAACACTTCTGAGAGAGAACATGAACAAAAGAGGGCAAAAAACGATGAGGAGGCAGTTAAAAGTTAAATGACCATCATTTTTATTCTTTATTTTTTTACATTATGCACAATTCTAATTTATTGTGCAATAATCTAATTGTAACATGTATTTGTTACATATTTTGATGCATTTTTATGCTTTAGGAAACATTTCTGTCTGAATTTTGGGGGGGCTTGGAATGGATTCGGGCATTTAAATGGAAAATGTGTCTCGACTTACAAGATTTTCTCGTGAAGAAATTTGTTCCAGAACCAATTAATTTCATATGTACAGGTACAGGCCGCGAGAGTGGCTGCCTTTCCAGCAGCTCCTATATTTTGTTCTTCTACTTCTTCCTTTCATAACTTTGCTGCTGTGAATTGGGAATTTCTCCATTGCGAGACTAATAAAGGTTTTCTTATCTTATCTTACGCGGGCATACTGGGATAGGCTCCAGTATGCCCACGACCCTCGTGAAGATTCGCGGATCAGAAAATGGATGGATTCCAGAGAACTGCATGGCTGGATGAGTGTGGATGGGTGGAGTGATTCATTGATTGACTGAAGGCCATGTGAAAAAATTGCTTGGCTGCATCACCTCACAAAGACAGATAGATAGATGTATAGATAGACAGACAGATAGATTATTCATCTCGAGGGAAAGTAGATTTGCTTCCTGCATAACAAATTTTTTTTGTTACAATGTGAAATGGGGACAAAAGACAAATTAAGCTCATGAAGGCAACATTTGAGCAGTGGCTTTCACCACTAATATCGCGTCCATTTCACTCACATACACACATGCGTGTGTTCAAACTTTTCTTTGTAAATGTTATTTAAGATAAATCAGTTCTTCAGTGAGTGTGTTCCAAACAGTGAAAAGCAGTAACCACTTCCTCTTTTCCCTCCTACTTCACTGGTCTCGTGTGTGTGGAGGACATGACATATTTCCCGTCTACAACCACCACCGTGCACTCTTATCGATTTCTTTATCAAGGACAGAGGGCTCTCCACAGAGAAGTTACATACATCATAATATTTCAAGGTATGATTTCCAAATTCATAAATGTAATGCGCTTAAGACTTTTTAAGACCTCGCGGGAATCCTGGAGTACTTGCACAGCATATGCATCACAGCATTGTTGTTTAACATAGTGTGTGTATGAGTAACTTACTTGACGTTGGTATTGGTGCAGATGATATATTCAATCTCATCGGAATAGGGGTTCTGGAACGTGAAGCTGCTCGTTCGGATCAACATCCACTCCCTGTTTTTCATGCGGAAACGGTACATCACAGACAGTACCTGACCCTTTAGCTTCACCACCTGCAGAATGACAATATTCATCATTTTGAATGCCAAACAATTGAGTCTCAACTTAAATCCCGTGGCAAAATTTTACATTGCTGCTCAGCTGTGTACCATTCCAAGCAATAAGCAATATCAGCTTGTTTGTGATGATTCTGTCTAAGTGCAAGCAGGTCGACTGGTTAGCGTGTCGGCCTTATCGTGCGGAAGTGCAGAGTTTGAGTCCGGCTCCGGCCCACCTGTGTGGAGTTTGTATGTTCTTAACGAGCCTGCATGGGTTATCTCCGGGTACTCCGGTTTCCTCCCACATTCCAAAAACGTGTGGCAGGTTAATGGAACACTCTAAATTGTCCCTAGGTATGAGTGTGAGCACGGATGGTTGTTCTTCTGTGTGACCTGCGATTGGCTGTCAACCAGTTCAGGGTGTACCCCACCTACTGCCCAAAGACAGCTGGGATAGGCTCCAGCACGCTCCAAGCACTGTTTTGCATACTTCTAGAGAAGTGGTATGAGACACCAAGAAAAGTTCTGTGTCAAATTTGGTTGAAGACCATTTCAGATAATTGTTAAAACGCTTACATGCTGTCATGTTCTGTCTGATTTTGCTTGTGTTTCAGCTGCGGCTGGAGTGAAGGGCGTTTTCCTGCAGCAAGCACACCTGTTCCGGATTTTCCAATAAAGTCTGGCCATGTATTTAAGGACTACCAAATGCCTAGTCTCTTGTTGAATTATTGACATTGTTTGCTTTTCATGAAGGCGTTCCGGTAGTACAGTGGTTAGCACTTCGACTTCACAGTGCAGTGGTACCGGGTTCAATTCCAGCTCCGGCCTCCCTGTGTGGAGTTTGCATGTTCTCCCCGGGCCTGCATGGGTTTTCTCCGGGTCCTCCGGTTTCCTCCCACATTCCAAAAACATACATGGCAGGCTGATTGAACACTCTAAATTGTGCCTAGGTGTGAGTGTGGGTGTGGATGGTTGTTCGTCTCTGTGTGCCCTGCGATTGGCTGGCAACCGATTCAAGATGTCCCCCGCCTACTGCCCGAAGACAGCTGGGATAGGCTCCAGCACCCCCCGCGACCCTAGTGAGGATAAAGCGGTTCGGAAAATTAATGAATGAATGCTGTTCATGCTTGTACTGTATTGCACCACTGATTACTTTATCTCTGCTCGCTGACTCGGCCCATTGTTGCACAGGTGTCATTGGGTTGTACTGCTGCACAATAGTACCTCTGGAAAGTTTTTTGATACTTAAATGTCTTTTCTTTTCTTGCAATACTAGTGTAGCCTATACTACCGGAGACAAATTCCTTGTGTGTTCTACATACAAGCCCAATAATGATCCAGATTCAAATGTTTATAAATTTAAAACATTCTTTGTTGAAAATCGATCAATTTCTTCCTTTTTTTCTTTTGTTTTATTCAATATTCATAAGAATACAATGTAACGCAGGGGTGTACAGTGGTGCCTCACCTTATGAACTTCATTGATTCCTTACCCCATTTAAAACTTTCATCAAGTAAAAATGTTCCTTGAAATGAATGTAAATGCAATTTATTTATTCCAGCCACCTATTAATAGACAGATAGGTATATACACACGCACACACGCACACACACACACACACACACACACACACACACACACACACACACACACACACACACACACGGTGTAATGACTGATTAGCACGCTCCCCTCACAGTGCAGAGGTCTGGAGTTCAATTTTGACCGCGGCCTTCCTGTCTGAAGTGTGCATGTTCTCTCCGTTCCTGGTGGGTGTCTTGTCCATGGAAACCAAGACAACAAAAGTATTTCCTCTTACATTCCCTAATAACATGCAGGGTAGGTTGATTGAACATTCTAAATCAGGGGTGCCCAATACATCGATCGCGATCGACCGGTAGATCGCGGACTGGTCCCAAGTTGATCGCGATGGGTGTAGAGGAGAAAAAAAAACGATTGTGTGTCTTTGTGCATACTAGTAATATATTTTTGGTGTACACTACACCCCAATCATCCTATTCGTCTCATTTTCACAAAAAGTATTAAAAAAATAAAATAAAATAGGTAAATCTTTAACCTACGGTGGCGCGTGACCTGCGTCACCGGAAGTTGTTAGCGCTCAGCAGTCTGCAATTGCAACTTGTGATCAGAGCTGTTGCGCTATATCTTTTATCGTTATCATTATTCTCATTCAGAGTTTGTTTCGTGTGCAATTCATAGAGGGCACGGGAAAATAGGAATCTAGAGCAGGGGCCCCCAACCTTTTTTGCCCCACGGACCGGTTTATGTCAGACAATATTTTCAGGGACCGGTGTTGAAGGTGTGGCGGAAATAATACAACAAAATAATATGGTATGAGCTGCATGATAACTGTGGCGTTTTCGAAATATAATAATAAACACAATGAACGTCTAATCTGGCCGCAACACTCCGATCGCTATGGCAATGTTAAATGCCTTCAAAATACGATACAACGCAAATTCAAAGTGCATGAAAATGACGACTCACCACAGCACCGAGCTTGATTTTCTGCAACCAGACGGTCCCATCTCAGGGTAATAGGAGACAATGACACCTCAAGTGTGTGGTTTATGTCCAGTCTACTTCGTAATTTTGTTTTCGTCGCCGTTGCTGCATAATCCCCCCGCCTCACACAGGTTGGATGTCGGAAATAGCAAAAGTGCTATTGTGGCGATCTCAGAGTATTCAGACATAACTTTAATCCAGTTGTCTCGAACGTACTTTTAAGGCCGCCGTCATTTGCGATCTCCAGCAGTTTTTTTACTCATTTTGCGAGCTCCGGTGTTTGTTTTTAGCCTACCCGGCGGCCGGGTATCGGTCGGCGGACCGGCGGTTGGGGACCCCTGATCTAGAGGGCAGAGAGAAGCACTTTAAAAACGGTATGTGTGGGCTACGATAGTTAACAGGCTGCTAAAGTGCATCGCATGCCTCCATGTCAGGCTGTTGCTCATCATTGTGTGCGTGTGTATGTGCGTGCGCGATAATGGGTCGATCGGGGGAGGTTGGTTGATCGAAAAGTCGATCTTCGGTCCAAAAAGTTTGGGCACCCCTGTTCTAAATTGTTCCTAGGTGGGATCGTGAGTGTCTATGTGTGCCCTGCGACTGGCTGGCCACCAGTTTGGGATGTGGCCCGCCTGCTGCCCGAGGACGGCTGGGATGGGCTCCAGCACGCCCGCGACCCTCGTGAGGATAAAGCGGTTCGGATAATGGATTGATGGATGGATTCTTTGAAGAAATTATATACGAAACAAAAAGGGTTTTCTGTGCTTTAGCTTTAAAGTGAGGAGAAGAGAAGGACAACAGCTCCTCCATTGAAAAGGAGTCTCCTTCCAAAATAGCATAACAATCTTATTCAGATGTTTTTCTTTTGTCTATTTTGTAATTGTTTTGTTTGTCATCCATCCATTCATTATTTGAATGGCTTTTCCTCACGAGGGTCATGGCTATGCTGGAGCCTATCCCAGCCAACTTCGGTCAGCAGGCGGGTTACACCCTGAACTGGTGGCCAGCCAATTGCAGTCACACATCGACAAACAGCCACACACGCGCACGCACACGCGCACGCACACACGCACGCACACACACACACACACACACACACGCACACGCACACGCACACACACACACACCTCAGGACAATTTAGAGAGTTCAACTGACCATGAATGCATGTTCTTGGGATGTGTGAGGAAACCGGAATGGCCGGAGAAAACCCACGCAGGCACAGGGAGAACATGCATGCAAACTCCACACAGGAAGGCCAAAGCCCGGACCTATGTATTGTGAGTCGGGCATGCTACCCAGTCGTCTACTGTGCTGTTTGTTTTGGGTTTTTTTGGGAAAGAAAGAAAAAAAAAAAGATCCAGTGAAACTGGTCTTTTTTTTGACCACATTAATGACATCAAGGCGGCCCCTGTTAGAATCGTGACTAGAAGAAGTGAGTGTTGGCAGAAATTCCGGCTGCACACACAATAGCTTGATGCCACGGGGAGAAGACATGGATTTTTGTGTCTTTTTTTATTTTATTTAAGAGACGCTCCGGTACAATAAATACAGTATTGTACATATCATACATAAGTCAAATGTTTTGAATCATTCATCAGAAATAGAGATGACCGCTGTGAGAAGTGTGATTGGAAGAAGCTTGTCGGGGAAACTTCTGGACTTGAGGTGCCCTATTTTTTGTAAATAGTTGTTCATAATTAGTGGTCTTTTGGTAGTTTGTTCTTTCCCTAAGTAATACAATTATGCGAGTTACTGCGTTCATCCACCTCCTTATTTATTTATTTCCAGTGACTGTTAGATTTAATTGTGTGATTGTTAGGCATGGTGACTATGTACTATGAATCAATTTGCTATGCTGCTATTTAGTCTGCCATCTGGTAGATGTGAGACATAAGAATGTAAGTGAAAGCTTTTGACCATCAAATCAAGCTTCCTCTGTCCCTCTTTATTACTGGTACTTGACTGTCGGTGACTCCTGATGATGGAGACGAGAGGAGAAAAATGACAAGATGGACACTTTACATTCGTCTGCCCAGCTCCAACTGTACATGTCCTACGTACCGTCAAACTTTTGTGCCACGTTAATCAGAAATGTAGGCGGGCACTGTGAGAATTGTAGTTGCAGGAAGCATGTTTTATTTATTCTGCTACATTTTCATCGTGGTTATGTGTGTGTGTGTGTGTGTGTGTGTGTGTGTGTGTGTGTGTGTGTGTGTGTGTGTGCGGTGTGTGTGTGCGTGTGTGTGTGTGTGTGTGTGTGTGTCTGTCAGCGGACGGGCGCGGAGGAGACATTGGGTTTTATAGGGGTTTGGGGACTTTTACAGCCGTAAACCATCTGTGAATCACATCTAATTAAGAGTTAAAAAAAAAAACAAAGAAAGAAAACAGTATGCCTCTTGCAGTGAGTTACGTGCAGAGAAAATGATGGTTAAATAGTGCGAGAAGCACAACACCATCCATGCTGAGATGGTTCGCATAACGATACATGCATGGAACAAGAGGTCTATTTTCCACAAAAAAAAAATTGTGTAACTTGAAGAGTTTGTAAAAAAGGTCGTTTGTAACTAAAAGTGCTATTGTACTTATCACAAGTTTTAGACAAATGATACTATCTGTAGTTGTGGCGAAGATTCAAAAATTTTCTTCTGCCATTATTGTGAAGCACTGGTCTAACTGTAAATGTGTCTCATCCGTGCAACCTCTCTCCATTCCCCCTCCTCCTTCCGTACCCTGCATGCTCCTGCGTGCGCAACTTCTCACCGAAACTTCTCACTGGCGTCAGTTAACTTCCAAGAGGCAGCTCATTCACTCACTCTGCAAGCGGCCTATCATATTGCGTTATGTCTTTCTTCGAGGTCCTCTCAAACAAGAAGAGCTCGTTACCGTTATTAGCGGTTGTTGTATCGTTGACTGAAACCACGGTAAACAGTCAAACAGTAATCGGGCCATATCGCACGAGTGTGTGTGTGTGTGTGTGTGTGTGTGTGTGCGTGTGTGTCTGTGTGCGTGTGTGTACGTGTGTGTGTGTGTGTGTTTATTATCAGGGTAACAAAAAACAGGAAATCGTTTTTTTATTTCAAACAGGAGTAGTCAATCTGGTTCCTTGACGGCTGCTATCCCACCTGTTTTTCATCTCTTTCTGCTGCAACACACCTGATTCAAATGATGAAATCATCAGCAACGTCTGCAGAAGCTGGATAAAGATTCCGATTGTTGACTTCAATTTACGTGTCTATGAAGTTTCAGCACACACACGGAGACAATAGCGTGCGGCTATTTGAGCCATAACCAGGGATGGTGCTACACCGGTGCTCGGTGGGGCGACAGCCCTGTCAGAGATCTGTGTTGTCCCACTTAAGCCCCTCCAGCATTTTATTTGATAAGATAACATGTATTTATAAGTTGTCAAGCCCCCCTTTTTACCCCCAGGAGAGAAAAAAAAATCTTGCAACTGTGTCCCTGGCAATGACAAATTAAAATGCATCTGCACAAAGTCAAGTGGTCAAATATTAAGATGAATTTGGCTGTATGTTGTGAACCAAAAGATGAAAAGATGTTCAATGATGAGACGGTGGCACAGGGTGGTAATGCCTGATGGCACTTGTTTGTTAGTGAAATAGAAATAGAAATAAATATTCCTACCTGTTGGTGTGTGTAATGTTTCTGACTGTAGATCCGGTAAGCTTGAATTTTTATACACGTATGTTTCTTTTATTTATCCATCAATATGATAAGTTGGGTGAGTGATTGAAAAAGTGCAGTCCACATTTGCATATCATCCATCCATCCATTCTCTGACCCGCTTTTCCTCACAAGGGTCATGGGGTGTGCTGGAGCCTATCCCAGCTGTCTTTGGGAAGTAGGCGGGGGGCACCCTGAACTGGTTGCCAGCCAATCGCAGGGCACACAGAGACAAACAACAAATTTACTCACAGTCACACGTAGGGCCGATTTAAAGTGTTTCAGTAACCTGCCATGCATGTTTTTGGAATGTGGGAGGAAACCCGAGTACCTGGAAAAAACCCACACAGGCACGGGAAGAACATGCAAACTCCACACAGGAAGGCCGCAGCCGGAATCCAACCCTGCACCTCTGCACTGTGAGGTTGACACCCTATGTCTATTCAATGTTAATTAGCTGGGATAGGCTCTGGCACGCACCGCAACCCTTGTGAGGATACGCGGATCAGAAAACGGATAGATCGATGGATGGATGGATGGATATTTAACCAAACATAACTATGGTACTTGTGTAAAAAAAAAAAAATGGTGACTATAAAAATATAAAAAAAAAGTGAGTGTGTTGGCACTGTCATAAACCAAGGACCCCCTCCTTTTTTTTTCCAACCTCTCCGCAAACCACCCATAATGAATCTGCGACTCACTAGTTGAGAATCACTGCTGTCCACAACAATGCAGTATGATTACTGCTCCACTCTTTTCTCATTTGGCACACACCAGTTAATTTCAGAGGTCCCTTCTTTTCGCAGCGTTTTAACAGATGATTGCCAGTCAGAACAATAAAATAAAACTCCTAATTAATCACAGACTGAGGTGAAATCTCTTTAATCTGTAAAGAAACAATCATCTCAAATGTGAAGAACATACTGTATATAATCATTAAATTACCTGTTGAAAACTTTCTCTCAGGTGATTCTGGTCCTCAGGATGACAAAACTCGATAATGTCTTTGCCCAACAGGTCCTTTGAAACAAAAAAATTGTACGTTACAGTTGAATTCCAACGACACTGAAAAGTGAAAATATTTTCCAATCGTAATTAATCAACTCCACACGTGTTTTTATTTGGCCAAAGGCGGTGTTGGACGAGGACTTCTGACACTGTCGTATCGCCCCATGATTCACGGTACCAGGTGTCCGAAACTGAATGGACAAACCAGGACATTTTTCAAATCATGTTTGTACTATTGTAACAGTTATCAGATGTTGATTGGAAAGTTTTGACAATTTCTCGTATTAGTCTGTAACTCAATGCTCTGGGTGTCGGGTATTTGATGTCACATGCCTGTGAAATCCCAAGTGTTGGATGCTAGATGGACAGGTTTTTTGGGGGGGCTTCTGTTATTGTTTTGGGTGTCATCACATCACACATTGAAGCTGTTTATTCTTTTTTCCTGCTGATCAGCATTTTCTTTTGCTGGTTTGTTGGTCGCTGTTCTCTTGGGCATGGCTCCGAGTTGAACTTGTTGACATTTTTCATGGCGCATGTTGTTGTCTTCTCAGTTCTGATTTCTCTCTTTAAGACATGTCACTAACTTCTCTCTTCCCTGTCGCAGTCATCGTTGGCACCTGTGTTTCCAGAGGTGAACATGCAAAAGGCAAAACCTGTGCTACTAATACCGCTGGTGCTTGCTGGTCACCATGGTATTGCTGTTGCAGTTCGTGTGGTACATGCCGCTTCCTTGTTTCAGCTGAAATTCTTCTTGCTCCCTCTCTCTCGCCTTCATATTTGTTCTCTCTTTCTTTCTCTCATTCTATCCTTTGTCCCGACCGTTCCTCCTCTCTTTCACCCTCTCACCCCAACTGGTCAAGACACCCCAGACAGCCACCCCGCAGTAAGTCTTGGGTTTGTTCAAGATTTCCCCCTTCATTGCTTCCGTTGTCGAGGGCTTATTACCCATGCTGGGTTCACTTGATCTCGTCGTACGAGTGAGATGTGTGTTTGGAGACCTGCTCTATGTATGAAGTGCCCCGAAGCATCTTCTGCTGTGATTTGGTGCTATATGCAGTGAATATAAAATGTCTACCCACAGCATCAGATGGATCTCATTGTTCGACAGCAACATTGAAAGAGTTGGAAATTTTGGAAAATTAAAATTGAAGTATTGCCTGTTTAGTACATGAGACAACAACCTCCTGTCTTCTTGACATGTCTGGGCTATGGAGTAGGGAGGCAAGATGAAGGCCAAATAAAAACATCCAAGCCCAGGTAATATTTTTTCAAAACGCACTTCAAAACACACATAGCCGAAATGTGTTCGAGTCCAATGAAACCGAGATTGTCCAAAACATTACATGTGTTTGCACCAAACATAGAACATTGCTCATCATTAAAACAACACTCAAATTAGAGTGAAGCATGACAAGTGGCAGCTCCATGCTCCAACTGTGACCTTAGTCAAGGTGAAGACAATTATGAACGGTTGTGAATACCAGTCAGCGTGAGCACGAAACCTTCAGGCTTCTAATAATAATTCAAAAAAGGTCTGGAAAAGCCAACTACAACAGCTGAATCTTATTCTGGATTAATCAAAGGCACTTTAACTGTTGGAATGCGTGTGCTAACTCCCACTTGGGAAGTTTTTATAGTTGTTTACAGACTAAAATGACCATTTTCACACAATTAACAGATTTTCACACTCAGGGAACGAAACACCTGTCCAGAGCCGCACAAAAATAAGCACAGAAACATCATCACGCTTTTTGCAAAACATTACACTCAGTGATTTGCAAAACTTTCCATGCATTTTCACACTTCAGACCAGTGGTTCTTAACCTGGGGTCGATCGAACCCTAGGGGTTCGGCGAATCGGTCTCAGGGGTTCGAAACCATGCCATGAAGGTGAAGACACACCCGACTCAACATGTCAATTCGTTATGACACGCCCACCTGGCCATCACTGGCTGCAGATGGTCAAATTACATTGCTTGTCCAATTAGTGCTGCAGGAAATTTAGTTTGTTCAGTCATCAAAGTGTGACTGTCATGATAGTACGACATGCACGATTCATTTTGTGCACAATTAAAATAAATTACACTTATGTCTAGGAATTTTATTTACTTTTTTTCAGTTTTAATAAATTTTTACATGTTGAATTTATTTTAAAAAAATCATAGTTTTATTCTTCACTAATGAAGGGGTCGATGATAGTGCAGATTAACTGGTTGGGTTCAGTAACAAGGTTAAGAATCAGTGCTTTAGACACAAATAAGGATTGTAAGGTTACTTCCTTCTCATTACAAAGCCCTGGGGCCTCTTTGAATTCTCATTTCTTCCTTGGAAATTTCCTTTCCTATCCTGTCCGAGCAAGATGACACAGAAGTACTTGGAGGATACGATCGTTCAAATGCTCCAAATGATGAGAAAAAGGTGCCTGGATACAGCCTTTTACCTTTTACAATATACATTGATAACAGGTTTATTTCTTATAAACAAATGCTGCAAAAATTTAAATAATCCAGGCATACAAGATTTGCAGAGAAATAGGTTCTTATTTCATCCCATGGTTCAGTCTTTGAGTTCATAAATTCTCCCATCTTTACTCTGCTTCCAATGATGCAAGGCTTTCTCAAAGTCAACTTATCATCGCAAAAAACTATCCAACTTTAGCTGCTTCCTCTGTGATATCTCCGCAATAAACTTTCGCAACACTTGTTTTAACGTTACACAACTTGGCAATCGTCTGCCGATCTCGCCAATCTCGTCTCGCAAGAACGGAAATCTCGTCACGCGAGATCAAAACAACAAGCGGCGATTGTCAAACTGTGATCGTTGCTGGAAAAAAAAGATGTGCCATAGTTATTTTTTGTTTTGACTGAGAAATTTCCTTGCGTTCCCAAAAACGCACATTATTTAGAACTGTGCGTCCCACGGGAAAATTATGCGTCTAGGACGCAGAGGTAACGAGATGGCTGAGCATGGCGCGCTATTGTATACTGCACACCACCTTACTGTGCAATAGATATTGAACAACGTCCTCTTGTCTTTTACTATGTTTCAGAGAGTCCTGCAAATGGATGCTGAAGAAATCCACAATAATTTATATATTCTGATGAGGCTGAGTTTAACCATGCAAAAACAAGAAGAGGGACAAATTTAAGTGGACACAAGGCAAGTACCAATGTGCCACAGGAGCAAGAGGGTACCTTCACCCTTTGAGCTGCCATGACCCAAACTAGGGTCCTGGCTGTCAGTGTAGATGTACTTCATGCGGTCATTTTTATTTGTCAACAGATTTTTATTTGTTTACGGTCAACAGTAGTACGAAAAACTACTACTTTGTTCTGACTTTCATTGGTGATTGATATGTTAGTGTATCTGAGTATTATCAGAAATACATATTTCCAGTCTGCAGCATCAGTGTTGTGCAGTGTATAGGATTTGTGTATCAACACAGTGGCCTAAGCTGACAACATAAATTGATTCTTTAGCATGCTAAACTGGTGGCATTCATGCACCAAAAGTATTTGCCTGTTGGCCAATAGAATAGAAGATGATGAGGAATAAGTATAAGTAGTAATAGTAGACATGGCAACTGATATGTGGCATATCGCTCATTTGGTATGCAGTTTCCTTAAGGGGCACTCACAAGTATTTATGGCACCAAAAGGCCCGATAACTAATGAGGTTTCTACCTTTGGCCACAATGCGACATGGGATTCTAGTTAAGGTAAGCCACTTTAAATGAAAAGGGAAACTTTTTTGTAGTTAAAAGCGGAAGTTTCATCCAACGATAACTCGCTCCCTGCTGTCAACACAGGGTGCATTGGGAAATTCACTTTCATACCTTAACTCCACTCTGAGAGTATGTCTTTTCAGAGAGGCACAGGGCGCTCCCATCCCATTAATTTCCAAACACAGCCCATTTTTTAAACTAATCTGCAGCTCGTGTTGTGGACCGCTTCCACCTGTACTGCCTGACGCACTGTGTTCCGTCTAGGGCTGAAAAATTAATTGCATTTGCAATATACAATCGGGACTTGATGAAATGTGATTTTCTAATCGCAAAGGCTGCGATGTGACTGATCATTACTGTTATTAGAGTGGAGCGGAGGCTGAGACGGGTTGGGGAGAGGCGGGACAGAAGGGTTCACAGAAGGCAAAGTTAACACTGCCGCGTAAGCGTTCAGTAAGATTTCTGTCTCACGAGATGGGGCAAATATCTAACATGCTTGGGCTTGTTCACCTGGCAAGATGAAAAAAAAAAGACTTGCCATGTGTTTTGTGTTGTTTCGGCTGCCGTCTTATTCTGGTGCGCTTGTGGGTATTAGTGGGAAAGTGTCTGCACGAGTGTGTGGGCCACCACGGCTGTCTGGTGTGTACGGCACATGTAAAATAAAAGTAATAGCTCTTCACGATGCCTCAGAAGAATATTTTGTCTGCTGGGGAGGTTTTTGGACAAAGCCTTTTCAAAGTGATGCCCCTACTGCAACAGCAATCATCCACTGTCGGCAGCAGCAGACATACCGTATTTTCCGCACTAAAAGGCGCACCTAAAAGCCTTCCATTTTCTTAAAAGCTCACAGCGCGCCTTAAAATCCGATGCGCCTTGTGTATGGCCATTACGGTAATATGTAAACCCCAAAATGGCTCCTTGCTAGAGACATGCTTACAACGCAGAGTTCAAACTTAAGGCGATCGGTTTCGCAGTTGAACACGGAAATAGAGCAGCGGCAAGAAAGTTTAACGTTAACGAGTCAATGTTCTAAATTGCTGTTGGTTAAGTGAACTGTGTCGCTGCTTTATTAAATACGTTTTACTGACATCTGCTCGTCGCTATATGAATCAGGGTGTAGTGTCGTGTTCTGTTGGCATTTCCTTGAGCGTAGCTCCGTCTAGTGGATGCATTTTAGATTGTGTCTTATAATGCGGTGCATCCAATATATGAAAAAAATGACAAAATAGGCCATTCATTGAAGGTGAACCTCATAATCCAGTGCGCCTTTTAGTGTGGAAAATACGGTACCTCTGAAAAACAACAACTAGGTGGTTGCATCCTCTGGTCAAATGATTTGCAAATAGCAGAGCCATGCAAAGTTGTCAAGCGGTCAAATATTAAGAGGATAAATTCGGCCAAATGCTTCATTCACTATCTAAAATAAAATGTGCTGCTCTTTATTTCATTGATAAAATGGTGTCATTACTGCGGGTGCTTATCCATAAACTGGGAGCAATGTCATAAACTGCTGTAATTGTGCTTTTCCAACTCGTCAGCATGTGTGATGTTACTTTCTGCAGATTGGTAAGATTTGATTTTTATACGTATATGTTTTATTTTTATGTCGATCTACATGACAAGTTGAGTGAAGTGCAGTCCAGAGTTACATGTTTCATGCATGTTTCATGAAACAAAGTGATATGGAGGAAGTAGTAAAGCCACAGATTTGTTTGTGTTATTCATCTCCGCTTTATTTTGGGAGTTACTCATTTCCAGTAACATTATATAATTATGTTTACCCCACACTTGTGTGGCAGAATTAGGTTGTCATGGTGAATGCTCGCCAACTGCATGTCAAAGTATTTAGTCAATTTATACTTGTAACTGTAGAAGATAAACCGTGTGTAATATTAACTAATGCTTCATTTGCCTTTATCTTAGTATCCTATGCTGCATAATTTGTCTAATAGCATTTGTCAAGATGCATTACAAAAGGACCTTGAGAAAATGTATTGCAAATTAAATAGCAAATTTGAGGAACAATTAGATTATTTTCCATGATTGTTCAGTCCTACTTCTGGCACTCTTTTTTTGCGGCACTCTTAATAACCAAACGGCACAGTTGAACGACTCTGTGTTTCCGAACTGTTGGAGTGAAGCAGTGCACGCTCGAAGCGTTATTTCTGATTATGGGAGAGGTATTTTGGTTGCGAGTCCAAGGTCTATTGTCCTTGGCCCATGTTTTTGTAAAATAAATTTCCCAGAAAAAAATACTGACCCAGCAGTGACTGAATAGGATTTTTTTTCTTCTTCAGACATTATGTATTTTTTTTTGAATGGAGTGGACAAATACAATGAAATGCAAATGCAGCCATGACATTGAGTAGCTTCCACATCTGTTGAGAAATATGAAGGAATGGCACGAAGGGACAAAGAAGCATCAAGAAAATGTCTCAATGCCAGCAACTGTTTTTCATTTTCTCAGTGGTATTTGCATTGTCAGCACATCACACAATATTTTGATAAGATGGCGAATGTCTGAGGACCATGTGGATTTCATAAAAGAACCTATCGTGACAAGAATGTTTCAATGGAAATATTGAAATAGCTAATATGTGTTTCTATTTTAATGTCAAGAGACTACAATCACGCAAATAATTGCTCTTGCTTGTATGATTAAAACCATAGCCAACACTTTGACATTTTTTTAGTACGGAACAAGTTATGTCATTTTGACTCCGATATTAGGTTACTTAAAAGTACAAATATGTGTCCTCTGTGCGATCTTTACGAGAAGGTTTTTTTTATATTTATTAGACCACAAGAAGAATAAGAGTATCTGGTCATGAATAATCAGCAGCGATTAACTGGTGTATCCGAATGTCTTAGTACTTAATTGGGATTTTAGGGTGGGATCCAATATTGTGTGTGTGTGTGCGTGCGCACGCGTGCACGTGCACGTGTGTGTAAGCGTTCACGTTACATATTACTGTAATTGCAGCCTCAGTCTGTCTGCTGTGTGAACATCTGCGCCTCCCAAGCAACCCAAATGATCCCAATAATCAAAGGAGAAAGCAAATCTTATGAAAGACTGTTTAAAGCAGGGGTCGGGAACCTGTGGCTCGCGAGCCATATGTGGCTCTTTTGATGATTGCATCTGGCTCGAAGATAAAACAAAATATTCTTGCTTGTTTAAGCCATCCATTGATTTTTTTTACTGCTTATTTCCAGTTCAGGGCTGCAGTTGGCTCCATGAGCAAATTTGATTGGATAATACTGGCCTATGTTGGCCATTGCTGCGGAAACAGGTAAACGCTCCATTTTGAATCAACCCACCTCGGTCATTATCTCAAAGCTAACCCTAAACGAATAAGATGGCGAATTTAAAAAAAGATGACGAGTATGGTAGACTTCAGGACGAATGGATCAAAGGATTCGCCTTTGTGGAGAGAACAGGTTCCGCGGTGTGTATGATTTGCAATGACAAAATACCATCAAGGAAACGGTCGAATGTAAAACGGCACTTTGACATGCGCCATGCTACGTTCGCATCAAAATAGCCTCCGAGAGACAGCGGAAAGGAAGCATGCAAGCTACTGAGCAGGGTGCAAACTAGACAGCAGCAACTCTGCGTATGGACCTGGCAAACTGACTATAATTTCGCTCATTTTGCTGGATTTTTAGCAATCGTGAGAAACGGAAAACCATTCACATTAATGGTGAGTATGATCACAAAATTATTGAAAATAATACATTCAGAGGCTTATTATACTGACATTTTGTTGAATTAACTTTTAAAATAGTTAAAATAGCACACAAATTCAGACATGCAAGGAGAGATGTCAGGGTGAAGAGGCATGCACACCTCTTGAGCTTGGGTCCTGCTTTGCGTTCACATTCCGCATTATTATTTATTGTATGAATAATCAACGGAATGCAACAGGCCTGTGCAACAATAAAGACTGGATAATATTCCAATACTTTTGCTCACATGTGAAAGAAACTAAAGATGCTATCTCCTCTCTAAGTTTATGTTTGAGTCTCCAGCCACAAAAAAGGAGTAGGAGTAATCACTGTTTCAATACATTTGAGCGTATGATACATTTTCACAACATTCACATCATACAATTACAGTCAAACCTCGGTTTTCGAACGTCTCGGTTCTCGTACAATTCGGTTTTCCAACAAAAATTTCGAGTTTTTTTATGCCTTGGATGACGAACAAATTTCGGTTCTCAAACTAACTGAGCGCACTTGAATGCGTCACTTCACTCCTCTCGGCTTCGCTTCCTGTGTGGCGCCCATTGTGAGCACATTGTGAGCAGACGAGGTTGTATTATTCAATAAAGATTAAAAAACAAAAAAACAGACGTGTTTGGTGAGACGCTTCTTTTAGGGGGAGTGAAACCCCCCTCTTTTCAGAATGGTTTGCCCCAGCAGCACGGGTGAAGTGCGTGAGTTTGTTTACGGCCGGCAGTTTTCAATACAGCGGCACATAATCAACACTTTGGTGTCCGGTGTCTTATTATTATGCAATAATCATACAGAAACAGCTTCCTCGTGTAGCGTCCATTGTGAGCAGACGAGTTTGTATTGTTCAATAAAGATTTTTTTTTTTTAAAAGCAGACGTGTTTGGTGAGAACTACGTAATATCGGACTGTTATTTTTGCATCGTGTATCAGCCCCTAATCATGGCACCAAAGAAAGCAAGTGGAAGTGGTAAACCTGGTGAAGAAAAGAGGAAAAATAGTGCTCGAAACTATAGAATTGAAGAAAGATTTCATTGCGAAATATGAGTCAGGTGTGCGTGTGTCTGTGTTGGCGAAGGAGTTCGGGATGCCGAAATGCCCCGCCGACTGCCTGATGACAGCTGGGATAGGCGCACGCCCCACGAAAGATCGAGAGCGAGAGAGAGAGAGAGAGAGAGAGAGAGAGAGAGAGAGAGAGATATGTTCCTTCAACTTTTATGTTACTATGTTAATGTTAAAATTAAAATTAGTGAAAATAAAACATTACAGTTTGTTTGTACAGTATTTTACATATTACCTGCTCTCCTATTACATTTGTACAGTTTATGGTGTGAAATTGTAAAAAAAATTGGTTTAAAAAAGTTGTTTTCTTGACTTCGAACAGATTAATTTTTTTTTAAATTGATTCCAAAGGGAAACATGGTTTCGGTTTTCGAACAATTCGATTTTCAAACAGGCTTCTGGAACGGATTAAGTACGAAAACCGAGGTTTGACTGGACTCTAATCTTTGTATCTTACCTGAGGCTGATAACCAATAACGTTGATGCAGCGCGGGTCGACAAAGGTGATGACCCCATCTGAATTGTGGCGGGACAAGAACTCTGTGGGTACCGATAGACCATTCATATCCATCGAGACAGGAGAGCTGGTTACCTGAGGGAAAGTTCGAGCACACAACCTAAATTTTATATATATATATATACACACACACAC